CTCAAAAACAACTCAGAAACAACTGTATGATTTATCATAAAACACATGCATTGTTGTTCAAAGAACTGTATCATGAATAAATTGTACCATAATTGCGAACATAGTGTGAAACAGAAAACAAAAGGTTTGTTTGCAACTAAATAATCCTGGTTTGAAGCTTAAACTGGTTGAAAAACAATTGAGCCTACTCCATATTGTCTTCTGCACTGCCAAAATCCAGTGACCTCTTGCGTTGCGTCGTTGGAGATTGCGTCGGGCTTGGCGACGACCCATGTGCTTCAATCTTTTTCTCTTTAACATCAATGTAACCATACAACTTAAGTTGTTCTTGGTCTTTCTCTGCCAACTCTCTAGCAAGACCCTCCATTTCTTGGATTCCCACTTCCTGTAGAAAACCATAGGAATTGTATTAGGAAGAACTCAAAAAAGACGTAGCCATAAACTAGATGCATGCAACATGTAAAATTTGAACCTCGGAATCAATGTCATCCTCGGGAAAACAACCCGTAGTTCTATTGTACACAATGTACAGGTGACATGTCTTGCTGCCATTCAGATCAGAAAGCATTTTTTGTACATCATCTGGTCCTGCAATCAAGAACATTCCTTCTGGCAGCTTGCACGCAGACCCGGGTAAGAAGTAGTACAGTTTTGCTCCCAGTTTGCAACCAAAACTATCTCTCATTTCACTCATAATGAGATCGTAGGTCACTTTGGCGGGTTCAAAAATTCTGACTTTTGCCGGGCGTTCATCAAAGTATGCTCTCGGGACATGTGACATCTCATCATCCCTACTAACAAAAAATTCCATGACCAGCACCTAGTATCTCACATCAGAGTTAATACATTCAATGAGTAAAGGGCCAAACATAACTTTTATGTGCATAGCAACATTGCGGCGTTGTTACCTGCTTTTGTGGAATGTATCCTTCATGTGGAGTGACTGGGGATTGTGCCATCTCAAACCTTCTCACCTTATTATGTTGAATGTATCCTTCATGTGGTGTGACTGGGGACTCTGCCATCACAGGTTTCTTATCCTGCGTATGAAACGTCGATAGTGGGTTTACACACAAGTTTTGAAAGGTCATACCATATCTTGGGTATGCATCGTTGCGAGGTACTTGCAAGGGGAGAATTGACGATATGTTGTTGGGGTGGACTGATGTGGCATTGAACGGGTGACTCTATCGCAATGTCTCGAGTGAATGGCGACTGTGCCGTCTCATGATGCTTAGCCTACATACAATCGCTGACATAAGGTTGCCACAAATTGAAGATGTTTGTATCATAGAATACGTAGGTCCTTAATATATAGAATCGGTGCGAGATACTTACAGGGGGAGAATAATTGAAGACATGTTGTCGGGGTGGCCGTGAGATCGCACGGTCTTCTAACATATGTCCTTCCAAGCGGACCTTCTCCAGCATGGCCTTATAATCCATGTCCGACCGCTCCTATAGCAGCTTACTGTCCATATCCGCACGTTCCTGCAACACATAGGCATCCATCTTGACTCGCTCTGTCTGTATAATACTGTCCACAAGCTTCCGGTCCTTCTACAACGTTTGATGCATTTCCTTGTAGCCTAAGAAAAACTTTTTTTCCATGTACTCACAGTCCCTCTTATACTTTTCTTCAATCTCAAGACGCATCTTCGCCATCTTAAGGGAAAACTCCTGACGCTCCTCCTTTATCATCCTGTCCACGTATGAACGTTCTTTTTTCAGTTTCTTATCTACCTCAGCGCGATCCTTTTGCACCTTCAAGTCGATCTCCCGACGCGCTTCATGCAAAGACTTGTCGTACTCCGCACGGTTGTTATACGCCTCTGAGACCATGGTCCCTACAGCAACACATATACCCATAGTATGAAAACTGTATCCACACCCTCATCCACCTAATTCGAAACAATACGACCGTGAAAAAATATTCATAATCAGTTCGTACGATCAACTAGTACAAACTATCAATCAAAAAGCTCTTGCATGACATCCTGTACTCGAATCACACCAGAACTACTCAACTATGGCAAAAGCTGGATTTTCTAATCTCTTCGGAAATTACTTGTTGGTCGAATCAATGGAAAAAAATAATCAGCACTGCAATCGAAGATGAGAGAAGCCGTGGAAGATACCTTTTTAATCCGGCGTCCGCGTGGTTGCTTGAGAAGCGATGGCGCGATCCCAGCGATGGCTATGTGAGGAGAAACAAGGTAGATGGGGGTGGTTAGGATAGGGTAGATATGCGGTAGAATGGGAAGGTATATATCCGTGATTGTAGGGTTAATTAGTTATTTTGAAGTAATGCGCTTCGATGCAAGTTTTTTTTAACGAGCGCGATCTTTTCGGGGCTTCCAAAACATGTGCACTGACCGCGGGTCGAACCACATATCACACAAGCCCGAGCCATCGCCGTGCCCGTGCCAACCCGCCGCCCACCATTCTAACTTATTGTTCTCTAAAAAAGGAAGAGCAATAAATTCAGTCCAAGAATTTCCAGATATAATTGTCAACCCATTTTCGTTGGTAATTACGAGATATGTTTGGCGCAATTAGTGGCTAACTGGTTTTTTTGAGGAATAGTAGCAACTTGGTTTGATACATGCCAAACGTTACGTTCAGATTAGTTGCATTATTTCTTTCATTTTTTACCAAAAAAATCTATACAAAGTGTTAATTGGACAATGTGAACAATGTGGCATGAAGGTTGTCGGCCCAGCCAGTGGATGGAACGGATGGTACATGTACACGCAAGTACGATCTCTGACACACACATTTCATCTGGTTCAGTGGATGCATGCATGCTCTATGTGGCACGAAGTTTGTCGGCCGAGCCAGTCGATGGACCAGATCGATGCTATAGGAGGGACTCCATTGTAGACCAACGCTCCACCAATGTCCGGTGTGTGTGCTATGTCCACCGTAAGACAAACATAGTTCCGTCAACCCTAAAACCCTAAAACCCTAAACCCTGATAACCCTAAACCCCCCCTCCCACTAAACCGTAAAAACATTCAAATTTTTTCCCCACATGGAAACCATTATGCATGCACTCTCTATGTGGTCATGGGATGCCATGAAAGATTTTTGGGATTATACACGCAAGTACGATCTCTGACACAAGCATTTCCGGCATAGCATGTCAACACCCCGAAAGCACTAGCTAGGTTCCTCACCTGTATGAAACCAACCAAACATCGATCCGGTCCAGTGGATGGATGCATGCTCTATGTGGCACGAAGTTTGTCGGCCGAGCCAGTCACCGGACCAGATCGATGGTACCAGAGGGAATCCATTGTAGACCAACGCTCCATCAATGTCCAGTGTGTGTGCTACGTCCACCGTAAGACAAACATAGTTCCGTCAACCCTAAAACCCTTAAACCCTAAACCCCCCTCCCACTAAAGCATAAAAACATTCAAATTTTTGCCCCACATGGAAACCATTATGCATGCATTCTCTATGTGGTCTCATGGGATGCCATGAAAGATTTTCGGGATTATACACACAAGTACGATCTCTGACACGCGCATTTCCGGCCTAGCATGTCAACACCCCGAAAGCACTAGCTGGGTTCCTCACCTGTATGAAACCAACCAAACATCGATCCGGTCCAGTGGATGGATGCATGCTCTATGTGGCACGAAGTTTGTCGGCCGAGCCAATCAACGGACCGGATCAATGGTACCGGAGGGAATCCATTGTAGACCAACGCTCCATCAATGTCCGGTGTGTGTGCTACGTCCACCGTAAGACAAACATAGTTCCGTCAACCCTAAAACCCTTAAACCCTAAACCCTGATAACCCTAAACCCCCCTCCCACTAAACCGTAAAAACATTCAAATTTTTTCCCCACATGGAAACCATTATGCATGCATTCTCTATGTGGTCTCATGGGATGCCATGAAAGATTTTCGGGATTATACACGCAAGTACGATCTCTGACACGCGCATTTCCGGCCTAGCATGTGAACACCCCAAAAGCACTAGCTGGGTTCCTCACTTGTATGAAACCAACCAAACATCAATCCGGTCCAGTGGATGGATGCATGCTCTATGTGGCACGAAGTTTGTCGGCCGAGCCAGTCAACGGACCGGATCGATGGTACCGGAGGGAATCCATTGTAGACCAACGCTCCATTAATGTCCGGTGTGTGTGCTACGTCCACCGTAAGACAAACATAGTTCCGTCAACCCTAAAACCCTTAAACCCTAAACCCTGATAACCCTAATCCCCCCCTAAACCGTATAAACATTCAAAATTTTGCCCAACATGGAAACCATTATGCATTCATTCTCTATGTGGTCATGGGATGCCATTAAGAAGTTTGGGATCATTACTACATATACATGCAAGTACGTTCTTTGACACACGCATTTCCGAGCTTGCATGTAAACACTCAACCCTAAACCCTGATAACACTAACCCCTGATAACCCTAAACCCCTAAACCCCTAAACCCTAATAACCCTAAACCCCTAAACACTAAACCCCGTAAACCCCACACCGAGTTCACAAGATTTTCTTATTTCTTTATATCATTTATCCAAATCTCACATAACTCACGTGGCCCACCCCTCCCTAAATCCCGCGATTACAGCTCCGCATTCTAACCACCCGGGCCGTCTGCACCTCCCACGATCGCTACAAGATCAGATCGGAGACGCCGGTCACCCACGGAATACAGCAGTCGGCGGCGACCACTCGCCGCCCACCGCCAACGTGATCTGAGGGCTCGGAAGTCAGTGTTCTTCTCGCCACCTCCTCCTCACGTGAACGCGCCGTTTTTCCTTCGCGCCGTCGACCGCGCTATACCGGCACTTATAGTTTCCGACGCACTAACCGCCGCCATCTACTCAGTGGCACCATAAGTGGATCATATGTTAAATGACCCAGTTAATTTTGTTAAAATTAATTCTTTGCTAATTTTGTTATACATTTTCCAATTTTGTTCAGATTAATTGAGCCTGATTTTATCATTGCATACGAGGCAACAATGTCAGTTTCAGATACGAACCTTAATAATGGCGAAAAGCCCATCTCCGAAACTACCGATGCGGTAAGTAATTGACTGTTTGTGTACAATCGTTTCATACACATAATTCATGTGTACTCAGTTTTATTTAATGGAATGTAACAGGAACTCGCCGAAAAGCATGGTCATATGAAGTTAGTATGCTCACAGACAAGGTTCGGAAAAACCATGAAACTGTTGTCAGAAGACCACAAAAAGTACATCATATCAGAAACCAGTCTTGGCGGACTAACCCAGATGCACGAAGTGACTCTACGTCGCATAATGTTGGTTAGACTAGCCAAGAGCATAGATATGGACACGAAATCCATTACCATCGGTAAAACGCCAATTCCTATAACAAAAGAGGACGTGCAATGTATATTTGGCATTCCGATAGAAGGGGAGGATATAGAGCCACATCTGGAAAATCAAACCGACACAGAATTGTTTACCGCCTATGCAAACAATGGGCAAATTTTGATTTATGACCTTGAAACGGCGATCCGAGCTTCCAAAGCCCCAGATGGTGATTTCCTGAGACGGTTCATTCTGTACGCAATTGGTACTGTTCTAGCACCAACAACACAACATTATGTGGACTCGAAATATCTCAACCTTGTTACAGATCTTGAAAACCTTCAAAAATTTAACTGGGGATGTTTCACACTTAATCACTTCTTCAAGTCCGTTTACAAGTTTAGAAATCGAGATCACGTAAATCTACAAGGAAATCTAATTCTGCTCCAGGTTAGTGCTAGATCACTACTTAATGTCCTTTAATTATTGTTCTGTTGCATATCTGTATGGTGATGAACTAATTTATTGTGTAGTATTGGTACTGGGAGCACGTGCGTAGTGGCCGATTAATGTATGCTTCTAGACCCCCTCCATTGATCGCACGATGGGACGAAATGATGGCTACTATAAGAAGCGATGCTTACGAGAAAGGAGGTCTTCATAACGGGATGGTACCTATCTACAATTGAACTTTCTATATCCGATTTTTTATTTGGTACTAATGGTTCATTATATTTTAAAGAAATAGGCTGTCATGGAAATTTGTGCTCCTCAACGACCGTCCGAGAATTCTAATAATTTTCCAAGAAAAAAAGATGAACATGTGCATCAGCATGATTCGTATCGAGCACCATCACAAGGACATCAATTTAGTAGCCAGCAAGTGTGTACTCCAAAGACTATTTGTTTTTGCAATATCACAAATAGGTGTCATGGAACCTCATTCATTTAGCTATTGTTATCAACGGGGTTTTATTTTGTTTACACAGATTGAAATGGTAGTTGAAGTCATGAATGCACGCATTGCTGATCATGAAAAGAAGGTAGGTAGGAAGTTAATGGAAATTGAGCACAGATTTGATGTCAAATACCAGACTCTAGGTGAAGACTTGATCGACATGAAGACTAAAACTGGCACTAACCCTAGGTTGTCGAAGGCCGAGGACGAAATTAAAGACTTAAGGAGGGAACTCCATGTATGTCATACTGTGCATTTTGTATTTTTTATGAATATGTTCCTTCATGTTCATTATTGTTTGCATTGTTATAGGACTTAAAATACGAATTTACAAGGAACCGACAATCAGTGTCACAGAAAGGAGGCGTGCAGGTGATCAATATGGCCCAACATGTTAATATCTAAAAGTAACAAACTAATGATGAACTACCTTTGTTCATTGTAGGATCAAGTCAATGTGTGCAATTCATCCCTGACAGGAACTCCTAGGGCTAGCCAAGTCACGACAGGGACTTCGAGTACACCAAGTGCAAGACATGTGACGGAAAACAATGAGGAACCACAATTAACTCCGATGAAGCCTGTCTTTGGTAATGATTACAAGTTCACGCATGAGGACATAGAGACAGCCGTTTACATTCGCGGAACATACGACCCTGTTGAAATAGCTAGAATCGGAGACATTACCCTCACAGCAGAAAATCTGAAGCGAAATTTGGACGACAAATACATTTATGGTGATGTAAGCCCATTATACCCTATTCTACATCATTACTGCAACAACTGTCTTATTATTGTATGATTGAAAATTTGGCAGGTTATTATGGCATATGCTAGCATTAGCCAAATTGAGAATGATACTACCTCAATCATATCCCCTCAAGAAACCGAAAAGCTGTTACAAATAAAGGGGGTGGTTCCTGTTGGACGTGCAGCCTCATGGTTAGCTCGTGTAGCAGGAAAATTTGTAGGGCGCCGAAAGGTACACGTTTTCCACACTTTCATAGTTTACGTACACGACAACTTTCGGTTCTCAACCCAACCCAAATTTTACTGCAGGTGCATGTCCCACTGAATTTACACCAAAACCATTGGATGCTAATGATGTTTAATTTTGACAAAAAAGAAATTCAGACTCTGAACTCCATGAATTATCATTGCGACAAGACCAAGGAAGATTCTCTTGTAAGTGTTCTCTTGCTGCCTCTTTTGATCCGCATGGAACATGAGCTCCCAAAGTATCGTAACCCTATGTATAACTCATCGTACCCTAGGTGGACTCGATTCAGTTCTGCATTGACGAAGCTGTCAAGAAAGGGTTGATATCACCAGTTAAGAACATCAATTTTGCCGAATGGACCAAAAAACGCTATGAGAACATACCACAACAGACCGATGGGTACGCATGGCCTCATAAATTATTATTTGCGTACACGAATAAGATTACTGATCTTTAACTAAACATCGCAGGACTTCCTGTGCGGTTTGGACACTGCAGTACATGTTGTCATGGAACGGGGATGAAATGACCGATATTTTGAACCAGGTAATTGAATGCCTAATTTATATTTGTACTTTGTTTAGCTTGAAAGCTATGCTGACGTCATTGTCGGTTGTCCAATATAGGCAAGGATAGATATTTTTAGGTGGAAAATATGTACAGCCTTACTGCATTCAGATTGCAATGCGCTTCGTCTCGAATCAGATAAGTTCCCCATAATGGTTAGCGCTACACAAGAATATATCATTTATTTCACAAGTCTCATTATTAGAACTAACGCAGCACTCTCTCTTAAACAGAAGGAAGTGTACGATGCCCAGCAAGCAGTTCTACCTGATGCTTCAGAAGAGGACGTACAATTAGTCAACAATTCTGATGGTCCGAACAAACCTGACACATCCAACTCCCAGAAGGATACCGGTGCACCCAACTCCCCCGAAAATGGTGCACCCAACTCCCCCAAAAGGAAGAGAGCACGTGGACGCCCGAGAAAGCTAGTCGATCCCGAGCAAACAGCAAAAACAAAGAGTCTTAAAGAACTAAAACATAAATTTGACAGCAAGACCATAGCCAACCAAGTGTCTTCGTTACCATCACGGTCACGCAGAGAGCATAAACCAGCACCAGCTTTATTGAGCCCATTCAAACACAAATAGGTAGCATCAATTGATCATTAATTGATACATGCTCATGCCCTACTTTTAGCATCATTTGATACACGTTTTGTTTTTCTTATCAGAAAGTGGAAATAGGTGCTTTTGGCAATCATGAGCATCCTCTACTTATTGCAATATCTAATGCATTGATACATTCTCATGCCCATGCTCTACTTTTAGCATCATTTGATACACGTTGAGTTCTTATCAGATAGTGGAAATAGGTACTTCTGGCAATCATGAGCATCCTCTACTTATTGCAATATCTAATGCATCATCAGTAAAAAGCTTGATTTGGCAATAGGTGGAATCGGCAATCATTTGCATGCTTTAATTTTGTCAAAAATTAATGAATAGTTCAGTTGTAACTGCTCATAGATATGGCAGGAACATGCTGAGTTATGCACTAAACATAGTCATGCCAAGCTATAACTACCATAGTCATATTATTAGAGTTTCTAGCATGCATCACCATACGGCAGAATAACACAACAACCATAACATAGACCACCTTACGATACTTGAGTTGGTAAGGCCTTGTACAATGCAAGGTGCTTAGGGGAGTTGCTTATAGAAATAAACCAGGCTTTTCTTAAGCACAGGTGCTTATTTGTACAGGGTAGACGCATAACTAGGCGTCTCTCCTGTACAAATATGCACCGGTGCATCAGAAAAACCCTGTTTATTTTTCTAAGCACCACCCTAAGCATCTAGCATTGCACAAGGCTTAAACATGCATCACCAAAATATTATTAACAACTAGAAACACTAAACCAGAGTAGCAGCAAATTCTTAACATAAACGGCAGATCAACCACCGCTCAACATAGGTTCAGACACACCATAGGACATCAGTTTTAGACTCCAACATCAAAGAAACATAGATAACATAAGAGGACACGGCGGTCCTGGGGCAGCATCAGCACTCTAGCAGCACATCACTTCTCTCCCTTCTTCAATGCATGTTGTACGGCTCATTGACTTTGACAATCTCAAGGAAGCGTGCGTAGGCAGCATGTTTAGCCAGAGTACTGGCACTACGATTCTTGCCATGTCCATTGCCAGTGCTGAAGGCATGCTGGATCATGCCATCTATGCCGCCACCGATCACCTTGCAACAGAAAGGGCACCCAATCTTGCCAAAGAAACGGTACTTGATCTTCCCAGCAATCAGATGCCTCAGGGTGTACCGGCTCTTGCTGTGCCTGCTGTCCATGCTGTAGTCCACGTCGTCGTCATCCTCCTGTCAATTAGTGAATTAGTACACGTAGAACAACTCAGGTGATATATTAGGTACATTGACTTTAATTACAATGTTTTGAAAGTACACATGTGAAACATGGCAACTATCTATTTGCTAGAAATAAGGCGTATGTGCACATACATAATTGAGCCAAATAAATTGACATGCACAATTATGGACGGTGGAATAGTTGCATTTATAGATTAGTGCACAAGTAGTACATAACTAACACATGAAAGACTATATGAAGTGGCTTGGTTTAATGATATTTGATACTTGTTACAGGTGTAATTCTTATTGGAATCAGAAAAATGGCTTCATTGTACTCCTCCATGTTTCACACAAGGGGGGTTTGTTCTATCTACTGGAATGAAGAAACAATTATTCTTTCTGACAGCGGCAATACTACTTCTCCAACATTGTTAGACCCTGATAACTTTCAGAAGGAAATTGGTAAAGGAGCTATGGGGTGTCTCACTGCTCATATTGATGAGAGATGTGGCTGTGATCATCTAAATAAAATACTATGGAAAATTGGGTAGATGAGATGTTTTGATTTTTCGGTATCCAGTGGATATGTAATGTCAGCCCATAATTATTAAGGGAGCGATCACTTCCTTTGCAAAATGGAAATCTGTATAGAATTTGCAAATGGATCATCTATGAACATGTGTGCAAACTAATCATCTATGAACATGTGTGCAAATTAATTCATGTACATAAACTATAATGAATCAGGAACTGCAGCATTTAGTCACTGTCCTGGCGAAGCCAATGGAGAATCCTGCCATATATCCATTGTTTAACCCACTTTTTTCATTAATGTATCCCTACCATGAACATTTTCTTGTATTTGGGTTCATTACCCCACTTATTTCATTAATGTATCCCTTGTGAAACTTATGCTGATCTAGTTAACAAGACTAACCCCAATGCCATGGAAAAAACCCAGAGTATCTGCTGGAATCAGAATGTGAATCAGATCTAAAAATCCACATCCAACATGAAGATCTATGCTAGATCCCTACAATCCTACATATGTACAACTAGAACGCCCAAGTGAAATTGATGCTCATCTAGTTAACAAGAAAAACCCCAATGTCATGAAAAAAACCGAGCAAAAAACAGAGTACTACCTCAGATAGCTCGTCGATGGCATCCTCGTCGAAGTCGCTGCCCTTCCTGCTATCTAGGTCAAACTCCTTTATGGCGTTCTCCTCCATGAGCTCTTCGATTTTGTCATACACCTTGCGCTTACGCCTTCTCATCTCCTCCTCCTCCAGATCTTCCCCGACCTTGTGCTCGCCGACGGGTGCCTCGACGGCTGCGATGGCAGCGGGAGCAGGCACAACGGTCGCTGCACCGCCAACTTCCACCGCTACGGCGAACTCAGCCGCTCCACCCACGGCTGCAGCCACGGCAGCAGTCTGCTCTGCTCCGATGGTTGCCTCCGGCTCGTCCACCGCATCTTCACGCCCGCGCTTCATCGTCGGTCGAAGACAGGAGGAGGGAGGCGTAGGAAGGGAGGAGGGTGGTGACGAAGGAGGAGAGGGTGGTGAGGTGGTGAGGAAGGAAGAGAGGGTGGTATGGTTCGGGAGAGGACGAGGGTTTTCTACCCGATTTGGGGAAGAAAGGCACTGCTCCTGCCTCTTGGAGTTACCGAGAAGCCGCGGGTGCCGATTTGACTTGACACACCCACCCGGCCGTCCCGATTACACGTGGGGACGTGGCGGTCGTGCACGCGGTCGTGCACCTCCTACGGTTTGCCATCAATTGCTATCGGTCTCACAAGTGGGTCCCCTTGTCATCCACACAACCGAGCCACCACATGTACCACATTTTTCTTTCTCCCTGTCTCGACCACTCCACATCTTTCTTTCTCCCCTTCTCGACCAGCACCGCCGCCTCCGCCGCCATCTACCGACGACCCCTCTCTTCGCTGTCGGTGCGCGGCCGCCGCCAACTACGGCAAGTACGTCAGATCTCCACTCTTCTTCCCTTCCTCA